TGCCACCGTCCTCTCACCTGTCACCCCGATGGCAGACACGGGGCCCTGGCGCTGGTCACCATGGAAGCCGTACAGGTTCATCTTGTACTTGTGGTCAGGCTCCAGGCCCGAGATGGTGACCTCATCCTGGTGTCCCGGCACCTGCACCACCTTGGGCTGCCCGTCCCCATTCTTGTATTGAACCAGGAAGTGGTCAAACTGCCCCTCGGGGACGGTCCAGGAGAGGTGCAGGGAGTCAGGGGTGGCGTCGGTCACTGCCAGCTCCCCCAGGCGCGGCTTGACGGGAGGCTGGGGCGTCGTGGTGGGCGGGGCTTGGGTGGTCACAGCTTCATAGTCTGGAGGTGGACAGAAACATGAGGACAGGTGAGGTCTCCTCAGTCCTCAGTTCAGCATATAAAGGGGTTTGTTGCAAAGATAAGATAAAGAGCAGACCTCGCAGTCCACAGTACCTCTTTCTGGTCACGTTAATGTCTCCTTCCCATCACCTCACCATCACCATCCCTGCCTCACCCACCACCTATAAATAGCCCCTTCTGACCTCGCCCTCTCTCTCCAGCACCCACCTCTTCTCTGAACACAGGTTCACGTGGCCACTGTGCCCTGGGCTCTCTCCACTGGGGTCTCATTGGCATCTCACTCCCTTTGGCTCAAGTCTTTGCTCCCTAAAACCTCAGACCCCCACCCCCAACCAGAAACCTGCTGTCTTCTTGGACCTGTTCTTGTCCTCAACTGCCATCACTCAGTGTGTCCCACTCTCTCCTGAGTTCCTCTCAAGGCTCCTCACTCCTCACACCTGCAGCCCTACCTTCCTGGTTTGGGTCATCCTCACCTCCCACCTGGGTTCCTACCTCACTCCTGATGTCCCTGCCTCCTTCCCCATCCATTCTGCACAGGGGACCAGAATGGGCCTTTAAATGCACATCTGATGGTGTCAGTCTTACTTAAAATCTGTACTCCTGGGAGGAGTGCCTGGCTTGCTGAACTGCCCCTACCTCTCCACCCCATCTCAAGACTATACCCCCACTCAGAGCAGCTCATCCACGACGCTCTCAGGTGCCCTGATGTTCCTAGTTTCCAGGCCTTTACATCAGCTGTCACATCGTTGATCTGACACATGCCTCGCCCTATTGCTAGCTGTCACCACGCTAACACCTGTCTGACGTCAGGTCTCAGCTGTCCCGTGGGTACCCCTGAACAGGCTGGGCTAGGCCTTGGCCTTGCCACCCAGGCCTGGCTTAGTCATACCCATGTCCTCCTTTGCCTTATTTGCTGGTTCACAGCCTGTCTCCCCACGACCAGGAGCCCCATGAGGATAAGAACTTGTTTCTCTGCCATGTTTGAGGTTTGCCCCTGTGAACTCCCACAGCGCTTGGCTCAGGGCACCCACATCTTAGTTGACCCACTGCAGTCATAAGTGTGGTGGTTCCGGAACCATGAGGTTTGGGGGTGCTGCAGGCAAGACGCTGTATGATGAGCACCTTCCAGCTGCCATCAGGGCCTCCGGTCATTCCATAGAGGCTGAGCCTCAGGGAGGGACCAGGGGTGCCAGCCAGTACGACTCTCTCCAACACATTCTAAGAAAGCGTCTAATTCTTGGTTGTGAAGAGACTGCTGCTCAGAGTGGTCCTCAGACCAGCAGCATCACCATTGTCACCTTGCAGCTGCCTACTCAAATGCTCCTGTGCCCTGATCCTTTGAAGTCATGAGGAAGTGTCTTGGAATGCTGAGACCCGAGGGAATGATCTCGGTAAAACTTCCCTATCCGGTGGTCTCCGAATGCTGAGGCCATCGGGGCATCATAGGTATGTGTGAAAGCACAACTCTGCTTGATCACAATGAGCTTCAGTGAAGCAGCTGCCAGTCTAATCGAATCGACTAACTGGGTATATATATTCAAATTGACTTCTTTGTGACAGTTATAAATAAAAGTTATTCGCTCGCCAGTATCAAGGCTTGCTCTCTTGGTCTGCAGAGAGGAGACCCCCGGACTGCAGATATTCTACTTTTCACTCCTGTGATTTCTTAACCCGTCGCTGTCCCTCCTTGAGCCCCCCAGCCCTTATCACGCGGGACGTGATATAACATCTTGGAGGGTGTTAGAAAAGCGGACCTTCGCCTCAGGCCAAACCTGCTGAACAAATCTGCCCTTTACCAGGATCCCAGGCCTGTGATGTGCAGGCAGGGGTATTCATGTTTGCATGGAGATGCTAACATAGGAAAAGGCTTCCAGGGGCTGTCTCCCCCACCCTGCCTGCCCACACTCACCGGTCACGCCCACGGTGGACACGGGTCCCTCGCGCTGTCCCCCGTGCAGGCCATACAGGTGCATCTTGTACTTGCGCCCCGGCTCCAGGCCCNTTCCACCCTGGACCCAGCTAATGAGACGCTGGAACCCAGAGTAGGGCCCATAGTGACAACACATACGTGTAGAGCCCAGGGCGGCTTGCCTGCCACTTCCTCCCTCCATGGTACACTCCTCATGCTCCTCCCCTGTGCGCACTGTTTCTAGGCGCCCCCTTCACCCTTTCCAGTCCCAGACTAGAGGCAGGCGAGGCTAAGATGCAGGGCCCTCGCTGGGGGTACCTGTGGTGCCCTGAGCGGAGACAGGTCCCAGGCGCTTCCCTTCATGGAGGCCGTAGAGGAAGAACTTGTAGGGGGTGCTGGGCTCCAGGCCTGACACAAGGACCTTGCTCTGGTCACCACCCACGAGCAAGGCCTGGGGCTGCCCATCGGTGTCCCAATACTGGACCACGAAAGAGTCAAAGGGGCCCTTGGCCACGGTCCATGATAGGCGCATGGAGTCTGGGGTCTCATCCGTCACCATCAGCTCCCCAAGGTGGGGCGAGGGCTGCCGCTCCTTCTCCAAGGGAGCTGTGGGGAGGGTGGAGGAAGGGGCTCTTGCTCAGGAGGTGCCTTCACCTCGGCCCTGGCAACTTCTGGGAGGCAAGAGGGTCTCGGAAAGGGTCCCTAAAGTGTGGCTTCATGGACAGCCACCTGGGGAGACAGACAGGCCTGATCCAGCCCTGTCCTGTAGGAAGGACGGTGGGTAACCCCGTCTCCTCCTCCAGAGGCCACTGCCCGAACTCCTTCCTGCCCTCACTCCCTCCCCACTGTGACCCAGGTACAGGAAGTGCATAAGATCACCTCCTGAGAGAGGGGTGACTGGGGGTGCTGAGAAGGGCCTCCGTTTTCCCCGTACCCCGCACTCTCCTGAGCAGGGAAGTGGCTGGAGCTGGGGAAGGCTCCCAGAGGGTATCTGGGTCATCAGGGAGATGCCCCCAAACAGTAAGAGGCAGGCTGGGTAGCCAGCCAAGTTCGTGGGCTGCTACTGCCTGTCCATGATCACCTCCCCACCCTCCCTACCCCCATCTCACCTCCACCCCGGTTCCACCCTTGTGCCCAGCCCTGCACTAACAGCCCTGGACCAGGGCAGCTGGTGAGGAGAGGTGGGGGCAGAAACCAGGGCCAGAGCTGGGAGAGTGAAGGGGAGAGCAGAGCACAGAAGAGAGCTACCAAGTGTGGGTGCTGACTGATAGGGGGTCAGAGGAGAAGCCTGCTTCTAGTCCCCACAATGAGGGCTCAGGGAAGATAATTAGGGAGTCTGGGGGCCCCAACTGGCCAAGTGCCCCATCCTTGTTTGTCTGGTCAGGGTGACTCATGATCCTGGGAGGGCGTAAGGGTCAGTGACCCATCTCCACCCGTTCCTTGGGGGGCTGAGTCATGGACACAATGACACTAGATTTTTCCATAGTCTTTTTGCAGCCAAACCCGTATTTTCCACCTCTTGCCACAGAGTTGGGACAAAGGGAGGAGGATGTGAACACGTCCTCAGTGCCAGGAGATATTATTATTCCCAACCTCTGTACAGGCATGGAAACTGAGGTTCAAGGCAAGGAAGTGGCTTGTCCATGGCCACACTGCTGGCAATCAGAACTTGAACTTGGCCCCGAAGCCAGGGCTTCAGTCAGTAAATGGAGGAAATAAGGCATGTAAAATGCCCAGAACAGTGCCTGGCATGCAATTGGACTCAATTCATGTTTGCTTGTGGTATTATAACTGTCATGCCAAGGTTGGAGGTAGAAGACTAAACTTCATGGGAAGGCCACGGGGCCAGCTCTGGGGCTGATAGGAGGCTGCTCTGGCAAAGGTGGGAGGCAGGACTGGGGCTCACCTGTGGTGCCGTCAGCAGAGATGGGGCCCAGCTGCTTCCTGCCTGCCAGCCCATAGAGCAAGAACTTGTACTTCTTACTGGGCGCCAGGCCACTGATGGTGACCTCTAGCTGGTCCCTGGCCACAGGCACCACGTGGAACTGCCCATCCCTGTCCTTGTACTGGACCACAAAGGAGTCAAATTCCCCCTCGGGGACCGTCCACGAGAGGCCCACGGAGTCCGGGGTCACGCCTGTCACTGTCAGCTCTCCCAGGCGAGGAGAAGGTTTTGTGTCTGGGACTAGAAAAGAGAGAGACGTACATGGAGAGTGACAGAAACAGTGGTGGGAGCACATAAAGCTTCCTCAGGGCTCTGAGAGCTGGGAGGAGGTGACTAGGCCACATGTCAGGAAGGGGAGGCAAAGGAATAGGGATAAAAGAGGAGCTAGGGAAGAAAGCAAGTGTCCCTCAGGATGTAGAAGGAGTAGACAAAAGGATGGGAATGAGGGGCAACGGGGAGCTCAGGACTGGCTTCCCCCGGACCCAGTAAATAAATGGAGGCCCTGGGGTCTGGAGTGTTGGCACAGAAAATAAAATTCCAACTGTCACCACAAGGAGGCGAATGACTGTCAAAAGGCTCCAGGGGCAAAGGTGGCCTCTGGCCCTCCTCACTCACGGGTCTTAGCATCTGTGGAAAGTGGGCCATGACTTTTCGCATCCTGGAGTTCAAAGAGTAGGCACTTGTACTTGCGTGCTGGGACCAGACCCGAGATGGTGACCTCGCGGAGGTCTCCACCCACGGGCCTGGGGCTGCCCCTGTACATCCCTGTATTGGACCAGGAAGGAATCGAAGACTCCCTGGGCTACCGACCATGAGAGGTGCACTGTGTCCGAGGTCACGGCTGCCACAGCCAACTCCTCCAGGCGGGGTGCCACCAGGGGCTCTGTGGGAAGGGAGGCTGGAACACAGCAGAGGAGGCTCAGGGGTCAATGGAAGGACCCCGTCCAAGAGGAGGAGTGCTTTCCGCAGGCTCTGAAACTAACATTCTTAGCAAACTCTTCTAATGTGTGTAAGCACTCACCAAACAGTAGTGCACTGATCCTCACACAGTATGTGAAGTAGGTGCCATTATTACTAACATCCCCATTGTCAGGGATCTGCGACACAGAGGTTAGGAAACATTAGCATAATCACACAATAGGTATATTCCAAATGGAATTCAAACCCAGAGAAAACCTGGTCCACAGCCACATCTAAGCCACTAAAAGGCCCAGTCAGGGAGGCTGAGGAAGGCACACATGAACAATTTAGTAAGTCAGAGACCCCGGATCATGAAAAAAAGGAGAAAGCTTTAAAATGTATCAGGCATCGGCTCCACGCCCACTTGACCCTGACAACTGTCTCCAGCAGCCCTCACTCCATTCAAGTCCACATGAGGCAAGATCATGAGCACCGTATGAGATGAGAGGGCCCACAGGCCCATGTGTGAGGGATTCTGATTTCCAAGGGGGAA